CCCCAAAACCCCAAAACCCCAAAACCCCAAAACCCCTTCATACAATTTTTCAACTGAATCAAATAAATAATATTATAAACCTACCCAAATCTCTCTAAAATGGCTAGAGTCCGCATTAAACAATTACCAATCACCGAAAAAACCCTCTTCAGCTCTCTCGTTAACAGAAATCAGACAGAAATTCAGGATTATTCCTTCATTAAAGACTACACTAATCTTATGAAAGTCTCTATTAATGACAAGTAAGCCTATAAATCATCTCTGCTAGGAAAAAGATCAAGGACCTCACTAAGCAACTTTCTGAAGGACTCCAGTTACCTTCTGAGGAGGTTCACGAAGAACTATCCCAGGCTAAGACTGAACTACAAGATTTATACAAAAAGGTATCTTTTCTTCTAAGCGTTAGGACAATTTTCCTGTTCTGACGCTCAAATTCCTTCGTTCTTACCAATTCTAGCTCTCCCAAAGAGATGACTACTGCAAGGATTTCAAGGCTAAGCTAGAGAAGGCGGAGGCTAAAGAGAAGGAATATAGAGTGAGGATACAAGAGCTTGAGGAGAGTTGTGAAGAGGAGCAGAAATAAGTACCAGATGATCATACTTACGCTGAATGAGATCGTAGACAAGCTTGATAGAACAAATGAGCAGTATAATGTAGTAGCAGCAGAGAAGGATAAGCTTAAGCAGGATGTCAAGAGTTTACAGAGTGATAACGCCCTTTTGTTTAAGAAAGTCGTCCATCTTCAGGATGAAGTCGTGAGTCATTATAATGAACAGAGTCAGGGCAAATGCACTTGTGGTCAGGAAGAAACAAAGGAATCTGAGGAGTCGAGGGAATTGACAAAGATTGAAAAGATAGCTGAGGAGTTTGGAAAAGTTGTTGAATCGACAACTCATGATGAAGATTATTCTAATACCTTTTCTTATTCCATCCCCTCCTTTGCTTCTCATAAGAAAGATCTTGACAGCTGTGAGGTCTCTGCAGTGGCTTATAATAATAGAGGAACTGTCATTGCAACAGGATCAGCACATGGAACACTAAAACTATGGGATCCATTCCACGGTGGAGAGATCAAGATTTTAAAGAATTTCTCTAGCGCTGTTTGCACATTGTCTTTTAGCACAGATAACCAATTCTTAGCAGCATGCTATGTTGACAGAACGATTAGAGTCTGGAAGACAAATAATTGGAAGCTGTATAATAGCTTCCATGGACACTCTGATTTGATAAACTGTAGTACATATTCTCACACAGATGATGCTTTGGTGACTGGGTCTGCAGATAGAAAGATCAAGTTGTGGGATCTAAACAGGGGAATCTGAACAAAATCTTACTCTGGCTATTCTTCCTGACAAGACATTGACTCGCTAGCATACGGATCTCTGATGGCGTCAGGGCACCAGGATGGAACAGTTAAATTCTGGACGCCAAACCAGAAGGACTATATTGAACAAATTGAGCCACATGGAGATCCTATTACTTCTGTATGATTTACACAAGATGGAAGATATCTTCTTACAACTTCAATGGATCATACAATCAAGTTGATAGATGTAAGACAGTTTGAGGAAATCAGTGAGTTCGAGCATGAAAATTATGTTAACGGCAACAAGACAAGCAGAGCCTCCATTGCTCCAAGCGGAGACTATGCAGTTGTCGGATCTAAAAATGGAGATGTAATCATTCTCAAACTAAACACTGATGAGATACAGTTAGAGGAAATATACAGAGGAGAGCACAGCAATTGTGTCAATATCTGCCAGTGGCAGCCGAACGGAGGTACCTTCACTACTGCAGATATGAAGGGAAGCTTTATCATATGGCAATAGTCGAAATTTATGTCAGAATTCAATTGGAATTAACTACAATGGGGTTTTGGGGTTTTGGGGTTTTGGGGTTTTGGGGTTTTGGGG